ATAGTTTTTGCAATATTTTCAATGAACCATTAAAGAGGGTTTTCTCTGTATTTTACATTCAATCATCGGATTCGTCCATTGACTGACGTTTGTACTTGCAATCCAATCTAGAAAAACAAAACATCCACACTTCGTCTGAATCGAGATACTCTAATGGGTCATGGTTCATCGTTTATCAACCAGCGAATCAATCTTTGACTTCAGTCTTTGTTTAAATACAAAGTAATCATCACGGGATATGGATAATGCAACATGCCCAGGGCGCGTTTTGAGTATAAAGTATTTGCGCAACGATCGAAAAGCCCTGTATTATAATAGCGACATTCAATTTCATATATTTACAATGTTCGCCCGTTTTAATATTTGTTTACAATACGTATACCAATATCACCAGAGTTTTCAACTCTGCAATTGAGCTTCCATGTTTACCTACAGCACATTGTAGATGTTTCATTTCATTTCGGTCAATGAACGAGTAGTAGAAGTAATCAAACGGCGAATATTTCAGTTTTCCAATTTGTGTTATGTTTGAAAATTTTGGTCATTGGCCACAGAATGTGTGCTTGTTTTATAATGTTTCATTATATTTATTTTCTATTATTACTTTATTTACAGAGTTATTTATCTTTTATTTTGTTGCCCCTACACTGGAAAATAATTTTTCTGGTATAATGTCGGTAATATATTGATCCTCTGTAAATAGTACTTTTTATCAAATTATTGACACATGTCTGAAACTTCGTGAATGACTTTATCTTATTGTAAACTGCAACTTATTTATCTGCATAAATTCTCAGAAATTCTCGGTTTTTCATTAAATTGATTAATTAAGTAATGAAGTACTAAAACCTCATGAACACCAACCCATCTGCTTCCTACCTGAAACGTAAAATAATCTGATCATTACAAAACTGGGGAAAAAAGATGGCCTACAAAAATAATGGACCTTTTGGCCAATATAATTTCATTATTTGACGTGTTGAAGGATGGAGGTCACTTATTTGTAGGAATTCAGTAAGCATATAAGTACTGGACATTCAAAATTAAACGTGTGAGATGTTTTGGTACAACGCTACAATCAAATTCAAGAGTTTTTTTTTATATACAATTTATTACAATCTGCGACCTTTTGTTTCGAAATAGCGGCCGAAAAATTTTAATGAAACTTGGCTAAAGTCTTCTCCTTAAGCTCTTTTAATATATATGTTTATAACATACTTCCCCGAAATGAGGTGGGAAAAAAAGTAACTATAAATTCAGAATTTTTTTTTTGCGAATATCTCATAAGTTCACAAATGATACTGAACTGAAATGTTAATACATATAAAATTGCACGTAGGAATGGATAGGAGTAGAAAAAAAAAATGCGAGCTCATATATGTTTTTCTCAAATCTTTAATTATGATTACGGTCGATTTTCGAATACAAGTAATAATAAACTCACATAATGTCTGTAAAATTAGCGAAACCAACAAATTGAGTTACACTTTAACCTTTATATATTTAAGATGGCAGCTCATCTCACTACAACATCCTCTGGAGTAAAAATGGCAAAAACATCAAAGTGAAAAGTAGTTCATCGTAACATAAGAACTCTATGACTAATATTAAAGATGAGATAGCAACAGAGAAAAATAGCAACAAAATATAATCATAAAACAGTTACACACAAAAACATTAGAAATTATTTTCCATATTTTTAGGTACACCTAATAGTATTAATAATAATAAGTAATAGTTAGCCCTATTAATTAATGTATTACAGGGTTGCTCATTAGAAGACGACAAATCGAAAAAGTTGTGGTGTGGTATTTAAAAATCAGTTAGACTTTATAGAAGACTTTCTTCCTATATTCATATTCCGTTGTACAGATCCTTTTTTTCAAATTATTCAATTATTATCCGTCTGAAACTTCGTGAATAGTGAAACTTCATCTCAAGGTAACTAGTGTTGCCCAAAATCGGTCTTGGTCTTGCACTTTGCAAGACCAAGACCACGACTGATTAAAAAAAATCGATTTTTTAAATAAAAATTAAGGGATAATACTTATAATACTCGACAATTTTAGTTAATATATGTAAAGAATTGGTATAACCAACATACTTTTGCATTTCTTCTTTTTTTAATCGTATTTATTGAAAAATATTACAATCTGTCTCAAGGACATTTATAATAGTGTTCACAGATCACATTCACACTCCATGTACAGTAAATAAAATAAATTATACAGAAAAATAACATATATACAATAAATAAGAATAAAATAACCTAAAAATAAATGAATAAAAAGAACACATACATACCTATATACAATATTCTTTTGCATTTAACTCCTCTAATATTTCATTCGGGCTCAGTTAAGCTTCTCCTATCTAAAAAATTACAGTAATATCTCTATAGTAATAAGCTAATAAGTAATTGCGAGACTCTTGCGCAAGACCAAGACTATGACAAGACTTAATTCGCAAGACCAAGACTCTTCTCGGTCTCGCATTTGGGCAACACTAAACGTAACCTACAACTATTTTACTTACGAAAAATTCATGGAGTTGGGGCGTTTTCAATCTGGAGATCGGCAAACTTTGTCTATTTAATTAGGCAATAGATACTCCTTAATAGCCATTGACTTTGCACTTGGATCATAAGACTATTTGATCACAAAATCGAGAAAAAAGGTGGTCTACAAAAATATTAGACGGTTTGGCGTATATAACCTCGTTATTTTGAAAAACATCAAAATCGAAAAGATATTTTTATTTCATCCTACATCCTATATCCTTTTATTTTATATAAGATTTGTCATAATTATTTTTGTTCTGTCATATTTCATTCCTAAAACGCAGTAATATTTATGTTTTTATTTATTTTATTACTATTTTTATGTATGTAGCTAGTTTCTATAATGAATTTATGACCTTGAAATTATAATGTTGTCTCCTCTAGCGAGAGCCTAGTCAGATACTGAACCAAATCTTGAACAAAGGGTCAAATTCAAATTCTTGTATTTATTTTTATATATCTAATTTGTTTATTAAATAGGCATAATGACTCCCTATTTTAGCTGCATCAGTTTTAAAATTTATTGCTTTTTATTATGTTTAATAATAAATATCGACTCTATTACCTTTCTATGTGTACAATATGTTTCTTTATATAATATTTGTGGTTGTACTAAGTTGAATGTATGTCTATTAGTAATGCTATGATGGGCTAGGGCTGTTTTATTGTCTATTTTACTATTTCTTTAATCATTAAAATGCTGGTTCATTCTTTTTTCTATGTTTTGTCTTGTTTCCTCTATGTATGTCGCATCACAATTATTACAATCTACCTTGTAAAAATATAAATAACTTGTATAAAAATATAAATAACGAAAATATTCTAATTTCTAGTCTGAAGATATATCCCATCTTCAAGGAGAAGACTTCAACCAAGTTTCATTAAAAATTTTCGGCCGCTATTTCGAAACGAAAGGTCGTAGATTGTAATAAATTAAATAAAATAAAAAACTCTTGAATTTGATTGTAGCGTTGTATCAAAGCATTTCACACGTTTTAATTTTATTTCTCCAGTGCTTACATGCTTACCAAATTCCTGCTAATAACGATCTCTAAATTTTGTGATTTCCTAAATAAAATCGAAGACTGGAGCCTTGGTGAAAATTTGAGGCAAAAAAGATTTAATTTCTCTATTGCTATAAAATTCGTATTTGTGGATTTTTCCTGGTTCGAAATATAAATCTCAACATTCTTCCTTAAAAATATATTGAACTCTCGTTGCTCCTTCGATCGGTAGTATACAAATTGTTTCATATCAACATTATTGTAGTCATACTATACTATAACTGTATACTAAATATAAATTTGTTATGATAGAGCTCTCCGAAAAATTGCAGAAATTATTTATTGTTTGACAGATATTTAAATCTGTCACAAATAAGGACATTTATAATAGTGTTCAGAGAGCACATTCACGCTCTATCAATAATAAATAATACAGAAAAAACAATAATAATAAAAGTAAATGTATTTAAACTAAATATAAATATAAACCAAACAAAAAGAAATTAAGCTAATAAAAGCAACTACTCACTTACACACTCGCTTCTGTACAATATGTAAAAAAAAAAAAAATAATAATAAATCATTCACCCAAGATCTCCGAGCCAAGCCTTTCTCCCCACTCGAGGAAGGAAAGACAGGGCTCTAGAAGATCCCAGCGCCTCTAAATCAGCCGCATTATTGGTGTTAGGGACCAGTAGAGGCTGATCAGAGGCTCCATAATCACACATACTTGGCTTGGGTGGAGAATCTGGTCATTTCCAAAACTCCAATGTATACTCACAAAAGGTCTCTGGGCCACTGCCGCTTCAACCTTCGAGGAGGATTGTAGGGATGGGTAGTGCTGGATAGGGATTTTGTAAGAGGATTTGGATGATTGGTAAGGTTCTGGTGAAATGTGGAGAATTTTTCTGGGATAAGGTCTAAGACATATGGGATATTAAGGTCATGGTGTAGAATACAAATTCGATTGTTAGAATACAAATTGTTTCATATCAACATTGTTTGTAGCCATACTATAACTCTATACTAAATATAAATTTGTTATAACAGAGCTCTCCGAAAAATAGAATCTGAAAAGTTTAAACAAAAAATTTAATACAAATCTTTTCTATTTCGGTGTTTTTTTTTTAAAGAAAACTGCTAGTCAAAATTATATCCATCGAAATTAAGCGAGTAATATTCTTGCCTGGCATGATACTGATATATTTGGTCTGTTTCCGATTAATATTAATTTATTTATGTAAACTGTTGATAAAATTCTTTTTATTGATGGCACTAAAGCTTATCTATAGCTGCTAAACAAAAAACAAAAAAAAATCGATTGAGAAACAGAGAAGAAAAAGAAACTGAACTGTTTTGTCTTTGGCTATCTATATAATGTTTATTATTATTTTATTATTTATAAATAGATATTTAATGTATATATGTTTCCGCAGGCGGTTGCTATGTAATGGTCCTTCCTTTCGGAGGTCGCCCACAGCTCGCCCTGACAACCTCGTCAACTCCTACACCACCATCAGTATCCACAAAGACGAGAGAGGATATGGCATGAAAGTGTCTGGGGACAACCCAGTCTATGTCCAATCTGTCAAGGAGGGTGAGTTAATATTAAATTATCCTCATAATTTATATTATTTATAATTTGTTGGTATTCCATTTCTATTAGTTGTCGGGGTCAAGGTTGTATTGAGTCAAGCATTGTTGTAAGTGAATGTAAACATAACCAGTGGTTAAAACGCTTATGGAACTTTTAAAAAAGTTCCATTTTAATAGTTTCTGTAAAACTTATTATAATAAACTGTACAGCATAAACAAATTTATTAATGTTCTTGAGTCAATTCTTACTAATTTTAGGTTGAGAAAAACGAATCTGACAATGGAAAATTTTTCTTAGCTTAGTTTCTGTGATGTACACTAGTTGGAAGTATTTTATATTAACGGGTTAAGAGATAAAAATATATTTTAATTATATATGCTAACAACATTGAAAGTGCATTTGATTTTTCAAAATGGTGGAAGAAAACCTCGAAGATGGTTGTGTCTGTTTAGATTCAGAGATTCTGCCTTCATGGGATCATCGTCTTATCTTGCCTCTTGTAAGGGAGTTCCGGAGCATCCCTACGCAAAGACCAACAGTAATCCGCAAGCATTGCTGTATTCCAATGGCCCTCATATCTTTTTTTCATTACAGAAATGCCCTGATGGAATCTTTCTCTATGTTCATCACTAACAGCTCCACAACTAGGAGGGAAAAAGTCTAGGCGGGAGTGAAGAAAATGGATTTAAGGGACATGTTGCATCCAAGGTTATGGTACTTTTGCTGGAGCACTGTCACCTAAGTTGTCATCTCTTTTGTTACCCAAAAATCCACGAACAACTCCCTTGAAGGCTTCCCAAGCTTCCTTTTCTTTCCCTTCCAAAACTTGTTTAGAGCAAGTACTGAAATTTGTGGCCCGATAACAATGCCTTCCTTAATTTTTGCATCACTTAATTTCGGATATTTCTCTCTTATGTACTTAAAGGCCCGTCCTTCTTGGTTCATACATTTGACAAAATTTTTCATCAAATCCAGCTTTATATGTAGGGCTGGAAGTAAAGTATCTTTTGGGTCCACGAGAGACTTGGCAACCACATTTTTAAAATTTCTTAAGATTAAGGGTTAAGATTTCTTGCAGTTCAGTCCCCCTTAATATAATGCAATTCCCTATTTCTACTGTCCCACATAAATAAGAACCAGCAATAAATTTAAATAAAATTATTTTGGTTGATAACTAAATATCGTTGTTTCTGTGGATCAGTAATAATAACGGAGAATTTTGCTAGAATATTTTAGGCAATAAAAGTAGATAAAACAGGAAATAAAATGCGGAGAAGTCGATTTTAACTATTAATTGACAAATATAATAATTGTCAGAAAAGGAAGAAATATTGTCACATATGTTAGCAATTTCTCATTAAAAAGAATTAGAGAACGGATTGTTATAGTTGTTGGGAATAATAATTGTATTTATGGTTGATGATGGATGTATTATCATTATAGATAATTGAGTCATTAGGATTATCAGTATAGTTCGAAACGTCGATCAAGAAGTTGAGGAACTAACGAAGAAAAATTGTTAAATTCTTAGTAAATTATATAAACAATGTCTTTATTATTTTCATTCAGACACTGAATATTGTACGTGCAAGTTTAAAGTATTTAAAAAAAAATAATGTACTCTAGAATATTGATTAAAATGAAAAATTTTCTGTCTGGGGATTTTTTTTTTTTATACTCGTGATAGAATTGTTTTTTGTTTTGTCTCAATAAAACTGAGTCTACGAACCAAAAGTTTGTGTCAGGAGTCTGGGAAGGCAGGGTGCTTGCCTCCGAAAAACGCATGTTTGCAATTTTCCCAATCGCTGTTAATCCATGCATACATATCCTTACACATAAATTCTTGGTAAACGAACAAAAAGTATCCCTGAGATATCTGCATGGCGGATAGTGAAGTTATCGGCCGCTGCATTCGGCTAAAACTGATTTTTTTTCAAAAATAAATAATAATAACTTAAACAATTATATGAAATAATAATACAAATCTCATGAAATGCCTGGGAACAGAATATAGAATTGAAGTAATTATATCATTTGATGTCAGGATGGTTTGGTATTGTCCCTTCGTGTTTTAAGAGAGAGAGAGGGAGAATCAGCAAGCGGTTCTCTTGGACACAGTCAGGATAATAAGAAAATTTTTAAATATTTGAAAAAAAAAGTATACATGTAGGTGGATGGGCATGTCTTCCGCCTTCAGCTTTCAATCCGCAAATGCGGGAATAATGAAGATAATAATAAAAATGAGAAACATCTGTTAAGTTTTCAAGCAATACTTACGCAAGCTTCCTTTGATTTGTGACTAAAACTCCAACCTTACTTAGACTGGGTTGGCCACGGAATACCATGACGGTAGCATGCACGACTCAAGCCTAGTACCGCATTTATAGAAATAAATAGTTCGCTGAAATTGGTATTGATTATAGATACGTAAGCATGTTAAATACGTATGTAATGTTTATTTAAAATTTACTGAAAGGTGATATATTTCAAATATTTTTTTACATTCTATTACAAAATGTCTGATCCAGAATTAATTGAATTATATGTATAAAAAATATATTCATCATATTTTATCATTAAGATTGAATCGCATTCATTAAAAATTTACTGGATTGAATGGCATTCATTAAAAATTTACTGGATCGAATCGCATTTATTAAAAATTTACTGTTATCATTTTTTAAAAATATTTATATATTTCAACGCATCTAAATAAATGATTTATGTACGTTAATAGTTCAAAACGGAACTTACGGTTACCTATAGACTTGTATTAGGTTATAGGTTATAGTAATATTTCAACGCATCTAAATAAATGATTTATGTACGTTAATAGTTCAAAACGGAACTTACGGTTACCTATAGACTTGTATTAGGTTATAGGTTATAGTAATATTTCAACGCATCTAAATAAATAATTTATGTACGTTAATAGTTCAAAACGGAACTTACGGTTACCTATAGACTTGTATTAGGTTATAGGTTATAGTAATATTTCAACGCATCTAAATAAATAATTTATGTACGTTAATAGTTCAAAACGGAACTTACGGTTACCTATAGACTTGTATTAGGTTATAGGTTATAGTAATATTTCAACGCATCTAAATAAATAATTTATGTACGTTAATAGTTCAAAACGGAACTTACGGTTACCTATAGACTTGTATTAGGTTATAGGTTATAGTAATATTTCAACGCATCTAAATAAATGATTTATGTACGTTAATAGTTCAAAACGGAACTTACGGTTACCTATAGACTTGTATTAGGTTATAGGTTATAGTAATATTTCAACGCATCTAAATAAATGATTTATGTAGCTTAATGGTTCAAAACGGAACTTACGGTTACCTATAGACTTGTATTAGGTTATAGGTTATAGTAATATTTCAACGCATCTAAATAAATGATTTATGTAGCTTAATGGTTCAAAACGGAACTTACGGTTATCTATAGACTTGTATTAGGTTATAGGTTATAGTAATATTTCAACGCATCTAAATAAATGATTTATGTAGCTTAATGGTTCAAAACGGAACTTACGGTTACCTATAGACTTGTATTAGACTTGTATTATAGACTTGTATTAGGTTATATATATTTACTTAATGCTTAGGACCGTTTTCTGATTTTCTTAAGATTTTTTTTTTCAATTGACCAATTTTTTTTCTTTACCACTAATTTTTTTAATTTAGAATAATTTTAGCCATTCATAAATGCCACATTAATAATTAGACCTCTCAATGAGATCATCAGTTTTATGGATTTTTAACTGTGACTTTGATTGTTCTCTTTTTGTTTTTCTTGTTTGTTCTGACTAATTCCGATTATGTATGATATAATAAAGTCATGTATGAAATGGAGGATATAATTTTCCAACAATAAAGGTATCATGGTGATGTATGTACCTTCAAAGCGGTTATAAATTATTTATCCTACTTTCTGCCTTGGAGAAACTGAGCAGTGGGTGTACAGAACCAATAGCTATGAAGTCACTACTATTTTTAATATTCTTTCCTCAGAATTATCATCGTTTTCTGTCTAAAAAATAATTCTATTTTACAGCTTCGAAATGTCGTCACTCATTTCTGGGAATCTAAATAGTATAACAGATTTCATGTAATACATAAATAACATAAAATATTTAAATAGTATATCACTGAAATTGAAGCCCTCGACATCGAGTTTATATTAAATTAGTAAACTCCTACTTTCCTAAATTTATATTAACAGTTAATTATTATATAGTATAATTTGAACTAATTGTTTTATTTAAATTAATTTTTTTTAACCACTTTAAATAACCAAGTAATTTTAAAACAAAACGAGTGTTTCCTATTATTATGGGACCTGTAAAGTTGATTCATAGGTTGTAGTAGTTATTTTGATTCAATAGTTAGTATTCAGAATATCATACTTTGATGCACTCATAAGTGGGAAGTTATCATCGGGCTGATCTAGCTGCACAAAATTCGGAATACTGAAATTACTGTAATTTTTATGCTGATCACAAATATGCAACTAAGGAATTTTACTTTTAAAACCTGACTTTTTACTTTCACTAATCTATATATGTAATATATAGTAATAGAAAGTATTGTGATCGTGAAAATTTTCGAATCTGAGTTTACAACGGAAATACACGTTTTGAAATACATCCTGTGTCCAAATAACCAAGCCAAATTAGAGCTGTATGTGAAAGTTGTGTGTTGCGCGCACCAGATTTTTTTTTTTAGTTATCCTTCGCAATAATAAAATTATACTCACTTCAATAAGACTGTCTTACCAGATTATTAAAATAAATGTTGAATTTCTAATGCATAAACAAATTTGTTTAGCCGTTTCCGAACACCACATTTTTGGAATTGGGAGGTCTTGAAAGCTAAATTCTATAAAATTTCACCTGTTAGCATCACAATTTTATTTAATAATAATATAAAGGGAAAATCTTATTTTTTAACCCATCTTAAAACTTTTATTCGTTTAAAAAGGGACTTTAACCTTTACAGAAAAGTAATGATGACTCTTAGGAGAAAAAAACACAACAAATGCTACTTTTGACTCTTTAAGATAAAAGAATTGTTATTAATCTGTTGACAGATCTTTGCCGATCTGGTTGAAGTTTATAATACTAACCTTTAATAAGGTTATTCATTTTTCTCCCTGTATGTGTTTTTTTTTTCTTAAAAAGCTAATTTATTAAAATAAAACCCATTTCTTTCATCTCAAAAAAGAAATAAATTCTTTAATAACAATAAAAACCGTCATTAAGTTATATCTCATATTTACTTATTTGCTACGTTTTGTTTTTTTTTTTTGCCTTTTTTCGTTTATATTAAAAGCGTCGTAATATATTTTTTTTAAATTTTCGGCGTTATTTTTTTAAAATATACGTTTGTTTATTTATTTTCCTTACCTTTTAACCTTTTCTATTTTATTGTTTATTTTTTTTAGGTCATACCAGACTGAAACGACAAGAAACCGCTCGACGTTTCTGATTACTTCAGCACTTACTAGACAAACGCTCTAAACTTCCAATTAATTACTTAAGACTCATATACATGACTATTATAAGACCTATTTGGACTTACGGAGTTGAACTATGGAGCTCCACTAAACCATCGAATTTCTCTCGCATCCAATCCTTACAATCCAAAATCCTTCGTAAAATCCTCAATGCTCCCTACTTTGTCACAAATAAAATCATCCATAAAGACCTTAATGTTCCTTATGTTTCAGATCTGGCCCAATCCAGATACCTATCCTTCCATAATAAACTTCAGAATCATCCCAACCCTCTCGTTTCTAACCTTGCTTCCTCTTCAATTCCTGATAACCCTCCGAGGCTTCTGAAAAGAAGATGGCCCTGTGATCTAATGTAAACATATCATTAGAGTGCTACCATTGGGTAGTTACTCAGCAAGTGTTTTCACGTCATTATATTCATATGTTCAAATTTACTAAATGTATATCTTTAGTACAGTTGTAAATATCATTAAGAAATAATAATAAACAAAAATGTTTACGTTTATTTATTTGTTACGTTTTAGCTTTTTTTCTTTTTTTTTTTTTGGCCATTTAAAAAATATCTTTATATGCGGTTTAGCTTCCTAATATATATTTTTTTCATTTTTAACATTATTATTTTTTTAAATATGCGTTTGTTTATTTATTTATTATTTATTTGCATTCTGACCCTTTTCTATTTTATTATTTATTTTTTTAGGTGGAGCGGCTGAAAGGGCGGGCCTTCATAGCGGCGACACTATTGTCAAGGTAAGCAATTATTGCAGTGTCAACGTATTGAAATTTGTTTATTTATACTTGGTAATTGGTTGACTTTCGTGGATAATGAAGAGAAGAATAGTTGGGGTGTTCAGTCAAAAAGGAAAGCAAAAATAAATCATAATATTTATTTTTTACATATGCCGATGTTTCGACCTGAAGTTCAGGCCTTCATCAGGGCTAAGAAAATAACCAGATAACAAGGTATGAGAAACATAAGTAATGATGGTAAAAAAGATAATAAAAAATAAAATAAAATAAAAAAAATTATTAGAAAAATAAAATAGATAAATATAAAGTAAAATGAAATTGTTAGAATAATGATTAAGAACTAAGAGATAAATAATAAAAACTGTTTCATAGTGTGGAATGATGAAGTAGGCATAAACAAAAACGGGTGACAAAAGTGTTACAATGGGAATCTTAGAATAAAATGTAAAACATAAAAAAGAAATATAAAGTTATATAAGAAATGAAAATAAATAGTAAAATTAAAACATTGAGAATGAAGTAGTTAGACAGAAAATTGAGATATTGTAAAGTCTATCAAGATGTACAGACAATGTATAATATAATAAAGAGTTAAAAACAGAGAAAAGGAATAAAAGGAAGGAGGGAAGAAATTGAGAAAGCTGAAATAAGAAAGAAATAAAAGAAGTACTACCTTTCTCCTTAAGTGTCGAAGGGAGAATAAAAGTCGTTATAAATTAGGGGGAGAGAGAAGAGATGTGTAGGTGGCGTCATCTCTAACGGTTATTCGACGAAGTTTGAACTAAAGCGCTGGAAGCCTAAATAGGTACGAGAGATATATTATTCAGAAAAATTATGGAAAATTGAACGAAAGTTATTTGTTTATAGTTATTCTTTGTTTATTTATATTTTAAGATATATATGAGATCCTGTAAGCCAACTGTATCTAAAATATATTAAATAATTTTTATTTATGTTTATCCCCTACCTCGCCACTTCTGGCATACAGGGTAAGTTTTAGAAGTACAACCAAACCTATTCTAACCAGAGTGGGAAAGTCAAGATGCATGCGGTGGATCCGCCTAGAAATAAATTTTAACCCTTCTAGGCCGGGTTCGAACCGGCGTCGCTAGTATATTAATCCTATTTGACCGCTAATTAATAATAAATAATTGTTTTTATATATCTAAGCGATATGACTTAATTACATTTTAAACGATTTTGCAATTCATTCTTGGCTTTAATCTCCTAAACTTATGATCAGTTTTTCCTGTTAATATTGCATTTTAATTTTATAGTGGTTTACATTACATGATTTCCAGTTTTCTTATGTTTGTTTACTCATATTATTGCTTTGTTTTATTTTTTACATTAAATAATAATTTTAAAAACTTCCAATATATGTATATATATATATATATATATACATATATATATATATATATATATATATATATATGTATATATATATATATATATATATATATATATATATATATATATATATATATATATGTATATATATATATATATATATATATATATATATATATATCTGTGTAAATATAGGGAGGCTATTAACTTTTAAGTTATAGCATGATTAGAATTGTAATAATAAGATCATTATTTGTGGCCATCGCTGGATTAATAATGACCGCAAGCCAGTGGACCATGTAATTGCGGACGTGAGCCTCGGGGAATATCAGGAATGCGGAGGAAATACATTATATTGTTTTGAAAACAAATAAACATAGTTCAGTCGACGTTTAAATTTAAACTGTTGCAATTAATCTACTCAGTCTTTTTTCTTGTTTAGTTTAATTATATTTCTTGCTGTTGCTGATATTTACAATCGGATATAGGCTAACACACGTTTTTCTAAACACAGTATTTGCATGCTCTGTGTAGTGATTCCTGTTTGAAGGTCATTTCGAAGGTTGATTCTGCCCTAAAACGATTACCTACCTTAAATCGGAGTGTGCGGTAGAGTGCTGAACACACCGACCACGAGGTGTTTATAGAAAAAGAAAAATCTCAATCTTTTTATCATACAAATAATACGTGATTTGTTCTTCCCCATCTTTTTATGCCTAGTTCGGGTTCCCAACATCAGTCGAATATAATCTATACGTTTTAACATCTTCTGAGTCGGAGGTTTAACACGGGATGACTGCACACCAATGCATGATTTATCATGTACGTCCCTTCTCACCTCCTTCATAAAAATAATCCTTTCACCACAGCCGGAGACCGTTGGTGAAAATAAATGTTGGTAAGCAGGAGATCGTTTGTATTACTTTATTGGATACTATAAATTGTTGTAGCTATTATAAAGTTAGTAGATCATCTATTAAGTAGGCTAATATTAGCTGATGGAAATAATATAACTTTTATGTGAGTGAGTCAAACAAAGAGTTGTATAATATTTAGATTCGTATTTTGATGTACTAGTTGGTCCGTGCGAAAAATTCGCAGAAAATTTTGTTTAGTGGAGAAATAGCAAAACAATATGGAAATACGTAGTTTCTATGTATTATGTAAGGAAGGAATTAATATTTTTTCCTTGGTCGATTACAATATTCCATTAAACATAATAGACCAAAATATTTGTACAAATTGCTTTGCTAGGACCTATTTTTAAACGCTACTGGAAAGATAATGAAAGTAATAAAGACGAAATGATGACCCGATCATGGGATATTCTAAATTATTAAAAAAAATAAAATGTAAAAACAATCAAATGTCTTTAACAAATAATAAAGTTAATATATCAGCCAGGAAAAAAATGTAGTTGACTATTCTACTCCTAAATGCAATATCTTTAAACAGGAAGATATTATTAAGTATTCCAAAACTAATGGACTATATCTTTGCTAATAATTATCCAATTTTTACGATTTTTTTTTTTTTTTTTGCAGGTAATTTAGTAATAATTATCATGAGTACAATCGAGAAAACTGCTTACTTTTTGAGTTATTCGCAAATAAAGTTTCTTTTCCTTCATAACTTTTTCTCCAGAAATTTCGGGGGGTAAGACTATTTTTCGTATGTGAAGGAGAATAATATCTTCAATCATTGGATTTAATGAAGAATTGACGAAGTTATGGAGTACCGACAAAAAAAGCACCTTTTAGAAATAATATATAGGATTTTCTAAACACAAAATATGATGATTTATAGTTTTTATTGGTTAGATGTTTGTTTATTTATCGAATTCCTATGTATTCCAAACAGTTCAGAAAGTACCCATCCTACAAGTTACCAACCGTTAGAAATACATTTCAAACCATAAGGCTGGATTTGAACCAACGCAGCTTCTGGATCGAAGCTGGTAAGATGACACCTTAATAATCGGCTACCACGGCTTTGAATTTTTTGACAAAGTTGGTAAACATTATTTTTCGACCATATTTCTGAATTCAAAGTAATTATGTTTGGTACTCATTGAAACTATCCAAGTTTTGAAACTTCTCATATTTAGATTTCAAATGAACTTTGCTGTAGTTTTAGTAAGAGTTTGAAGTTGGCATTCATCAATTCTTCAAGAAATTTCATTTGATTCTCCATTCATCAAAACCATCGTATCTGAAAGCCGTGAAAGGGATCCGCATTACTAAATTATATATGATGTTTATGTTCGAAAACTGTTACTATTTTTTTTTCTCATAAATTTGTATTTTTACCTGTTTGATATATGTCCTATTTCCTGTATTATTATTTGGTGGAAGGTTTGCTTCTCCTGTTAGGAGGCAATGATCCGGCTCGGCAATGGCCCGAGCATTGGAAATGGGCCGTTTCCACTGAAAGGACAAAGCTGCTCATGGCTGAACTACTTCCACTCCGGCCATTGTCAACCTATCAGGGGACCCTTATCCAGTTTCTCTTCCCAGTCTAACTTATCTTATCCCCTTCTATCCTCACAGTTTTTCTAGTTTTCACCTCATCTTTTAATAGGAAACTAAAAAATATTTAACAAATTTGACAACCTCAGGTGTAAAACGAAACTCGCGAAAGAGATATTAGTAGTTATATTCCGATTTTGAGTTATTTATAGGTTTTCGTTAAGTTTTATATTTAATGCAGTAGTATGTATAGGGGATCCTACACGGTCATTCGGAATTGCATTCTGAGGCACTAATGATGTTTCGAATGATCGTGTAAGGTAGTGAATGGACGTGTCTGGCAGATTTCCGAAAATCTGGAAATGAATAGATCATTCATGAGAAGTGGAGGAGAGACTGAGGTACAAGTAATTTTTTATATCCCTATTTTATATTTTTATGAACCATTTTCAACTATTTTTTTCTTTAAATATCCAATCGCGTAATAAATTAAAAAAAGGAAAGTGGAAATTTCACAATTTTCTAATAGAAAAAAAATCTTTAACTGTTGTCATTTATTAGACTTCCAGAGGAGGCCCACCCGCTGGTTGTAACTCCAACGAGGAGATTGAAACTCTCTACTAGGGAGTACAATAATAGAATAGTGCAAGTTCAGGGTTGTGTCTTATTGCATTACGTTTTAACTTGCAGAATATTTTCCACTTGATCAAATTTATCAGTTATTAATTAAATTGAGCCTTTATCAGTGGTTGTAAAGTAGAAAGATTCACAGATTGTGCGTTCAATAGACATCTTGAAAAGACCATATTGTATACACGAATACTGATGTCGCTTATATGTAAAATGCATTCGGATAGATGTGAGAGTTCTTGCGGGGATTTACTAATTATCACGTGTTAATATATTGTATATTTGAGGAAGGAGATGCTTCGGAGTGGATGTCGTAAAAAGACTAAAATGTTACATCATATTTAGATAGACATTAAATGTAAATAAAATTGTTAAAATTATAAACAATGTTTCACAGTGTTCTTTCGGTTTTTCTGTCAATTTTTATGTCACTATGATACACTTCTTATCTGATGAATTAATCCCTAAGGTGGTATTTGTAATATGTCACCAACTGTATCTGTGAAACACTTGTTGAAAACTAGCTTATTATTGTATTTGAATATTGAA